GTACTTCGAGACTGACGATCAAGGGCAGGTTCGACACAGCAAATGCGTAGTCCCTGATGATTACACACACCGCGCGAAACGTCATGTCTTTGGTCAAAGTGTAACCGTGGGTTACCTTAGGCTCGGCTCTCGATGTATAGGAAGCGGAATGCCAGGGCTGAACCTTGTTGGCGTCCTCGTGAGGCGGCTCTGATGTCTCTTGTTCTTCCTCCTCGGATTTGTCCTTGCTGCCAAACTTCTGGGCTAGCCTTTGACGAATGCTGAGACCGGACTTTGATTTCTTCTTGTCTTTTCTCGCATCATTTGATCCTGGGTTGCCTCTCGCCATTTCCTCGTCAGAGCTGGAGTCGGAAAGCTCGTCTCCGTCCCAGACATCGACCTCGACGCAGCGACATCCTCGCATTAGGACGTTCTTGTAGGCATCAATGCTGGCATCGCTCGACAGCTGGTTGCCGGTAAGGTATGTGTTGTGGCTCGACGAGATGAAGTAGTTGGAAATGGGATGGGACTCGTTGACTGGTTGCGCAGGCTTCAGGACGCTTGCTGAGCCCGACATGAAGTAGTTGGCGAAGTTGGAGAATGAGCCGTCGGCCAGAAGCTCAGCGTTCTGTCCTGAGCATTCCTGCTCCTCGACCAGCCACTGCTGTTGCCCTTTCTTTGTCGTCAAGTCGTAGCGCGTTGTGATCTGGTCGTAGACTCTCTTGAGGTGTTGTGTAAGGAGTGGTGATAAGGCATCGACCTTGCGAGCTGCAACAGAGGCGGACGCTGTACCACCGCCTGCTTGGAGTTCGGGGTTGTCGACCTTGGGCGTACCCAGCTTGCTGTCTTTCTTGCTGTCTTTGTCGGGCAACATCTTGTGTTGATGTTACGAATCCAGCGGGGTCGAAGGGAGAATAAAGTCAGGAAGGGCGGCGAAAGGGTTTATAGGCGGCAGCAAAGTGCAGAGTGGTAGCGGTGTATGATCCTGGACGCGTATGCGTGCCTGAGTAATGGCTGAATCCAGGCAGCTCAGCTGGCTCTGAGGTGTCAGTATCTCCTCCCTAATTGCGCAATTGGTTGGTGGGCGGGTATCGTTAACATACATTCAATACGCACCAAAGATATGCGCAACTTAGTTTCGCGACTACAAAGCCTTTGTAGAGTGGTCGCGGGATCTAGTTGTGAAGGTATGAGGGGTGCGGGCCGCGACGTTGACGCGGGCACAATAGCCTCATGGTCAGCTCGTGCCTGCCTTGGCTTGCCGCACCGGCGTTTGATCATCCAATTGGTGGAGCACATGCATCGCTAATACCTGCTAGAGATTGACACGCAGCTTCCGACGTTTGCTGCATGCGCAAGGTGAATGAATGGGGGCTGCCTTGTTTGCGGCGCTGAGTGAAAAGGGTCTAGCTTTGACATGTGCCTCCGCAGCCTCGCCAAGCCCAGCGACGTCACTCAGGGTCCAGCATGGCCAAAGATATCATCGTTCCATGAGCACTGACATTCTTGACGCAAATCACATTCACAATGGTCAAGTCACGGAAAGAAGCAGAGAGCGAAGTCCGATCTTGGGGTTTCGACCATGTGTTTACGTGGACCGATAGTCCGTGAGTATACAATCGCTCTACTACATTGAATGTAGACTAACTCCCTCATAGCAATGCGCACTACTCGCCACACAAGCACAGCGGGAAGACGACACATCTTGTACTCAATGGCTCTATAACATACACATACCCTGATGACCCCGACGCGACGAAGGAAACAGTAGGACCCGGCGCTAGATGGGATGTCGATGCGAACAAGGTGCACGAAGTGTGGGTAGGGAACCAAGGTTGTACATATGTCATTGGAGAATGATCTATCGGAGCACTGCGCGCGTGCCCGTTCAGCATCGCTTAGCCCAAGAACCCATGCTGTCCCAAGTATTTGATAGCGTCGAGTGCCAATTGGTCTGCCTTGACCAGCTCTTGCTCTACCATGCGCTCGTACAATCCCTGCAGCTTTGTTTCCTTGGGAGGATGTTGATACTTGCATTTGCGGAGGTAAGGGCATTTCCCGTTGCGCTTCCAATTGCTACAGACACTCGTTTCCTTCTTTTCGGCGACTGGTGCCCGCGGGGGAGGAGGAACTCGAATGACTGGTGGAGCAATCTTTGAAGATGTGGGTTCTGGCGCTTCGTCGCTGTCGTCTGAGTCGGACTCGGACTCCTCTTCCTCTTCTTCGGAACTTGATACCACAGATGACTCGGATAGCACTGAACTTTCGGCCTCAGACTCTGTCTCGCTCTCGTATCCTAAACCCAGATCCACCACGCTCGGCGCAGATTGCTTCTTTATCATGCTCTCGTGGAGTTTCTTCCGTAGAGCCGCGAGCTCTTCTTGTCTGCGGTTCTCGGCATCTCGTTTTGCGCCGTCTTCCTTCTTGATCGTATTTACCTGCCTCCTTTCGCGAGGCTTCGGTTGCTGAATCTGGTCGTCGACGTGGTGCTCTCTCGGGGGCTTGCCGCTCACTCTGCGCAAAAAGTCTATCTCGGCTGCTCGTTTCTTCGCGGCTTCCTCTGCCTTCTCTACGATCCTCTTTTGTGTGGGGAAATTTCTTCTCCTGTCCTTGATCCATGCAGCGACTTCAGCTCCTGTTTGGATACTAATCATCTCTCCTCCATGCTCGAACGCGAAGCCTCCGCCCTTGAGCTTCTCCGTATATGCGGCTTCTTCGTCGATATCCTCTTCATCGCTACTCTCATCGGGAACCGGCTGTTTCGAAAGTCCTAGATTGACCTTGCGCTTCTTGTTGTCCGGTCGCACCACGGGAGGTGGAGGCAGGGAGAAGCCGAAGCTGGGCACCTGTGGGGGTACGGCGGCCTTGGCTCTCGGTGGTTTCGAACTTGGCTGCGATTGGTTTCTCTGCTGTTGTGCATTGCTGTTCCGGTCGTTCAACTTTCTCTTTTGACCGGCGTGTTGAGGCGGCGAATACTGAGGGCTCGGTTGGTACTGATGGGACTGTGGTGACTGGGGAAAGGAGGCGTTGCTTGTGCTTGTCATGTGGTTGGCGTACGCTGCCATCGATTGTACGCCGGCCGGTGTCGACATATAGGACATGACCTGGGCGAGAGCGTTGGGGTCGTATTGCTGCTGTGTCGCGCTATGTGTTTGCGCGCCGCCGGTGAAGGACGAATTGTTGTAGGCATTCGGGGAGGCGCTGTTGGGCGGCGCATTCGTCTGATGTTGTCCATTGCCGGCATTGTAACCTCCCCTGTTATTTGCGCCGCCTCTGTTGTTCTGATAGCCCCCTCGTTGGCCTCCTCTGCCGCGCCCATCTCCGCGACCGCGACTCTGCCCATGACCACCTCTTGGATTGCCTCCAGAGCTATTGAAGCCCCCTCCACGGTTTTGATTGCCGCCTCTCCCGCGACCCCTATCACCGCCTCCTCGGGCAGGGCCGCCCCGTTGACTCGCGTATGGTTGCTCGCTGGATGTAGCTTTCGGCGGCGGCGGAGGCGGAGGAGGAAATCTGAAGGACGACATTATCGTGGTTGAGAAATCGTGTTGCGCGCGAATAAAAAGTGCTAAGACATTAGGTTTAATAGTTACAAGAAGCGAATGATGGTAGGGCGGAAATCGCGAAAACGCTGGGAAGGCAGTTGCAGGACATGCGACGCGCCTCGGGAGTCCGCAAATCCCAAAAGTTCCTTATCGATACCACTAGCGCGACGCTAGTGGTCACCCAGAGGGCTCTCACCATCAACTCCATTGTCTATATCCACCATGTCCAGGTAGCGACCGATTCTCTGCTCTTATACCCATGAAGCCTCCAAAGCTGCGATCATGTTCATACTTGTAAGTTGCTCCCATATCGATTGTCGTCTTCATACCCTACGCGCTTTCGCGCTGCGCGTCAGAAAATTTGAGCCGAAGAGAAAGACGGGACTTGGCTGTTACTACGCGTAAAGCTCAGTCGCTGGGAATCGCGTCGTGTACATATTGATGATCTTGTACTGATTGATTCGTAGACCACGATTCAAGACCTGATACAAATCAAGCCGCAGGACTTCGAGAAGCCTAGCGCGCAAGCTATCAAAGATGTAGTCAACGACAAGTACAGCAACAGGATCGTTCCTGGCATTGGCCTATGCCTCTGCATGTGGGATCTCATTTCAGCGACCGAAGGTTTGATCGGTCACGGGACTGGGCTTGTCAATGTTAATAGTAGGTATTACTACATCCCTCGTGAAAACGCCGCTTACATGCAACGCAGTCGAATTCCGCATGACCGTCTTCCGCCCATTCCGTGGCGAAATCATCTACGGACGGATCAAGTCATCCAACGAAGAAGGCATCATTCTTGACCTGGAATTCACATCGGAAGTCTTCGTTCCCTACCAAAATCTACCAGAGAACTCGTCCTTCTCTAAAGCTGAGATGGTCTGGATCTGGAACTCTGAAGGCACAGAACTTTTCTTCGATAAGGGCGAGCCAGTTCTGTTCAGGGTAGAGCACGAAGAGTGGTATGATCAACGGCCGACCATTATAGAAAAGGATGAGAAGGGCGAGATTATCGAGGAGAGACCGACGGCCTGGAAGATAATAGTAAGTCGGGTGCTATTTGGGGTTGATATAATGTCTAATGTGAGATCTAGGGCTCCATGGCTCAACCTGGTCTCGGTCCGACTCTTTGGTGGGCCGAAGGCGGAGAGGAAGAAGAGGGTGAGGAAGGCGATGTCGAAATGGAGGGCGCCGAGGAATGATTGCTTCCAGCCAGCGAACACATGCCGCTTACCGAAATACCCAATCACAACGCACGCGCAACTCGACCCATCGATTTACTTGCATTCTGTATCTGTAGGGTCTAGGCAGAGCTTCGCGGTGCGCGTCATTACTACCATCATCATCTCCTTTCCCGAACCTTCTGAATGGTTGTTGACTTTCAGTTTGCTTTGGCTGGTTGGTCTTGTCTGCGACATATATTTTAATGCCAGAGCTGATGCAAGATCGATAATGCCCCAGTAAACTACAGCACGAATGGCGGTCTTCTACCACCACAAGATGTTTTCGTATACCATGGCTCTCAAAGACAGGTACTACCTACAAGGTCTCTTCAGAACGCACCCCGATCTTACAGTCGACGCCGAGCTCTTGAATGCCAGAACATCCATATCGTTCGATGTGGTGCACCTATGTACAGCAATTTCACACGGTTGCAGCATTGATTCAGTAAGAACGTACATGGAGCACTACCGCAAAGATAATGCAGCATTCCAAGGAATGGTCAACCAGGCTATCCCCGTCCTCTACTACGCCATCGGTAGAAACTCGCCGGAGATGGTGAGCCTCCTTCTTGAGTATGGATTCAGTCCGGAGGGTTGTATCAACACGACTCATTTCATTCCTGCGCTCGCGTTCGCCGTCATACATGGCCATCTACAGCTACAAGACACGACCGAGATTGTAAAGGTGTTACTTGCAGGCGGTGCTGACCCAAAGTCCATACCAGAGGATATGTGGCAACGTTACTTGGAACAGCCTTCGGAGGAGCGTCCGACCACCGTGAATTATACGGCAGCGTTCCTTCAGTGGTGCGGCAAACGCACACGTACCCATCTAGCACACGGTCTCAATCTTACGCAGCGATACTACCTCCACAGAGCCAACTCAGCAAGGCCCTTTGAACCCAGGGAGATATCTGAAGCCAACCTTCATGATGCTGAGGGTATTTTAAAGCTCGCTTACCGTATCATTGGACAGCTTCCCGTACTCCACGACCTTCAGCAGCAAATTCTCAACCAGATAGCGTCCAATGTAGACAACCCAGCTGCCCTAGTCATGGTGTTCGCCGGGCCCCCAGGACACGGCAAGACTGAGCTTGCAACGCAGCTTGGAGGCCTGCTGCGTGTCCCAACTACAACCATTGTATGCTCACAGATGAACACCGACACGGAGCTTCTGGGTTCAAGGAACGGTTACCACGGTTCGACACAGGGCTCTACCCTCAACAACCACCTCTCAGACAACATCGGCGAGTGTTCGGTAGTCTTCCTCGATGAGTTCGACAAGAGCTCGCAAGCAGTCTACAACGCGCTTCTCACGATCATGTCAGAAGGTAAGCAAACGATATATCTCGTCTGATGCGTCAAAGTTGACTGACACGATTGATAGGCGAATATCAAGATCGAAGGCAGAATCGGATGATCGATTGCTCCAAAATTATCTGGGTTCTGGCAAGCAACTTGGGCGACGAAGCGATCACCACGTACTACAAACGTCACCTGGAGCACTTGACGGATGACCAAAAGCAGAACGTCAATCTTACGCCTCTCTTGCGTCAGCTTGCGGGTATCTACAAAGGACGCTGGGGAGTACGTATTGGCCATACTAACCTCTTTCAGCAAAACATTCAAAGCTAACTGCAACAGGCCGCATTCGAATCGCGCATCGACTGTATAGTTCCTTTCTTCCCCTTCTCGCCCGGCGAGCAAGCTGTCGTAGCGCACAAGTTCCTCCGCGCCAATGCCGCAAGTGTACGCAAAGACATCGACTTGCGCAAAGAAGTCCGACGACACATGGGTCACTGTCACATCGGCCTTCAAGAAGACGGCAAGCTTTGCAGCCATATGGCTGAGCGAGGGTACGACGTCAGCTCTGGGGCGCGCGGGCTAAAGCAGGAGGTGAGGAAGGTCCAGATTATGGCCCGCAAGGTATACAACACCATTCCTAATCTGGTAACGGAGTCGTCCAATAACGGCCCGTTGGAGAGGCTGGAGGTCAAGCTGATGCCCACTGGTCATAAGGAGAATGAGGTTGGGGTGATCCTGAAGCGGGATTGATGAGGTGATGGAGAGTACGCATGCTGACTGACGGTTGAGAGATGATGGATAAGGTCTATTGTTCGCTATCTCATTCATCACACTAATATGTCATCTATCGATGCTATCAAGTAAATCCAACATGTGTTTCTGACGCCTCATTCTCGCCGATGATGTGTTGACCGATGATTGTGGCGTATGCGACGATAGTGGCCGTTCATGGTTATGGCTTGCTTGCGGCGCAAGTGGAGCGACATATGTTGCAGTGCTGCTCATCAGTAGTCGTGGGCTTGAAGAGGCGGAAGACACCGACCAGGGTCTACCAGTCTCTGCCTGATCTCGTGTGGCCAAGGAAGGATGTGTTCGAGAGGAGACAGAATCAAGCTCGAATCTCGGCGGCGCGACTGATGTTTCGTTGGCGGGCGCGGTCGGTTCGCTGACCGTATGCGTGATGACGGGTCTGTGTCTAGGGATAGCCGGTAACTCTGAAGCAAATGTTGTGTTGTACGTTTGGCTCGCAGGCAACTCATAGTTGGACGTTCGCGAGCTGAGCCGTAGACTATGTCTCGAAATATGAGCTGGTTCGCTACCTGGCAGCTCTACTGCCAGATTCACATCCCCCATCAACTCCGATAATGTCTCAACCTTCCTGTCTTGGAAGACATGGGGTCTTGGGGCTACAGTTGGCGCGGTAGAATGGAACGCGTACGGATTCACTGGTCCGTCTGAGTTTGTACCACTCATGAAGCTGTCGCCTGCCAGTTCTGCGGGCACTTGATGCCTCTCTGGATACTTATAGGCCCATGTGTCTTTTCGGGCTGACGGTGTGATATGCGCATCATCACAGGCTTCACTCAGCGATGACCGCGAGCTTCTATGGATCGGCTGATCAATACTGAGATGACGCTTGGTATCTTCGAGCAATGTTTCCGAGCGGGGACTGCGCTGTTCAGCCGATGTATATGTAGGGGGCGGACTGCTTGGTAGGCTGGGAGGCGATTGATATCTCGAGTTGTATGGCTTGTAGTCTAGGTGGTCTGGCATTACTTGCATTTGTCCACATAACGATCGTAGCGTGGACTTCACCGCATCCATGGTCGACGCGTCCTGTGTGTATGGTGCTTCGGTAAAGAACGACTTCTGGTTCGCTGACCATGGAGTGTTGTTGGCAGGGTAAGATGTCGTTCGATTGCTGTCCCCCAAGAAGACCTTTGGTGAGCCATCACCCAGTTGAGTGTGGCTGGTTGATCTTCTGTGCCGCGACACGATGTCATCAAAGTAGGTCGTATCTTGATACGTTGGCAGCGCCCTAGTACTGGGAAGGTCCTCCAAGCGGTTAAGGAAGCTGAGTACATTCGATAATTGTTGATGGCATACCATCAGTTCGCTCTTGCGGTCCGCTAGTCGTTCTCGGTCTTTGAGAATGTGTCGAAGTTTCTGAGATTGGTCCAAGATATTGCGATGCTGCTCGACACTGCCGCAGTCCACCCATCTGCCGATCTCCTCCAAGGCGGAGTTGGTATTCTCGATACAACTCCTTATCCAAGGGAGTCTTTCGGGTGTCTGTGCGAGTCTTGTTCCTACAGAGCCAACGGCCACCAAACGCTCGACCTCGGACAGGTCGTTGCGAACGATTCGTATCGTTCGCAAGAAGACTTCGCTCTCGCTCCCTACATCTGCGCTACGTATCGCAAGATCAGCGAACTGAAACGCCTTGCTGACACTGGCGGATCTCGTGGGTATACCTGTTACATAGTAAGCCCTGCGCTGCGCTCTGATCGTACAGCATACATACCTATCAATCCGCTCATATTATGAGATTCTGACTAGTTCGAATGGTAACGGAGAAGCTCCTCAGCGACAGCTGATGCTCATGATGAAACGGAGATGCAGGTCGTGAAGAACAAGTTCACGAGCACGACAGCTGCCGGTGGGCGGCTCATAGACCCCCAAAACTCTGTAAGCAGCGAAAGCACCAACAAGGCTGAACCTGCGGGTACTGGAATACCCCTCATGCTGTGTCGCAGTGCTTCGAGAACCGATCTGCAGCTCAATGCTTCTTTCCACGGGCTGAGCTCATGCGTCTGCGCCTAAACATAGGGTCAATACTCCGCGGGCCATGATGCCGGGCCTATACCAGATAATCGAACTCATCGAGCTAAGTATATCTCACGACCGAGTGGCTGCTGCGTGTGTCGCGATGGCGAGTCGCAGATTGGACGGTGCAGAAAGGGACGCTCCTTCTCCGCGCCGGTGGCGCTGGCGCTGGCGCTAAAACACATGGAGCTTAGTGCAAAAGCAAGCATCAACTTCGCTCTTCAGCCTCGTCCCTTCCTCCTGTGCGTCGCCGCCCGCACCCTCGCCATTTCCTCGACGCATCTCAGCTGATCAATTGGTGCATTGCATACTGCATAAACTATCGATGAAACGCCATTTTCGCCCCACCACACCTCATTCTCATGCCGCAATCTCCTTTTCCAGCAACACGCGTGACGGCACCAGCACCTGCCCCTGGTCTCCGATAATCTGTATCAATGCTGGGAACACTGCCAACCCCCCATGTTCGCTAGAAAACCCGAAACGGAAGACTCCGGGCTGTTCAAAGAGTAGGAACGCGAAGTTTGCCGATCGCGCAAGAATCATGTCCAGATTCTTGCGGCGCTGAGCTTCCAAGCCACTCTGCACGAAGGGCGCCACGACGGCATCCAGGTCTGCAGCCGCACTGGCGAATCTTTGGAATCGCTCTTGCGTATCCTGACCAATTCGACCATGCAGGAGAGCACCAGTCATGGTCTTCCATTTGCTGTACATGGCTGATTGCGCTGAGTTGTGAAGTTAGCTTCCTGTTCCAGGACTCGCAAGGCTGGGATGAACTTACCGGCATTCTTACCGTCCTTTCCAGGAACGGCTGACGCGAGAGGCGCAAGCTCTCCCGGAAGCAAGCTCTCAGCGCGTTCTCCGGTGCATCTCGAGAGCACACTCCAGGCGACAATTAGGCGAAGCGTTTCTACCCGGGTTGAGATATTGGAGAGCATACTTGCAAGTACGGAAGAGCTTGTGCCAGTTGCAATCGCCAGCTCTTTGATATTTGCCTGGATGATACTGGTTGCCGGGACAGGAGAGACATGATAAAACTCTCGAACGTGGTTTTTGATATTGTCTCGTATCTTCAAGGCTGCGTCGGTGATGGTATCATCTGATGCAGGCTGAGGCAGCACGTCGTCGATATTCGAAGCATAAGCGCTGGTAGCGACAGTCGGGCCTTTCTCCACGTGCCCAGCAGCGCCATGATTGTGGGCATGAGACGGTAGATGAGTCGATGCTGGATTGTAACGCTTCTGTTTCTGACGGCGTAACAGGAAAAAGAACACGACTCCAGCGATCAACAAGCCGACGAGAAACATTCCAATAGCCACTCCGGCCACCGTACCTCCAGACAGTCCGGCGGTTGCTCGTTGCGTGTCCGGGGAAGGGTTGCCGCTTGCAATCGTACCATTGCTGCTCGGTGATGGACTAGCAGTTTTGGATATGACAACGGACTGAGATTGGCTTGCTTCTTCACTGCGTGAGCCAGTTTCCAGCGCTGCGCTTGAGGAACAATTTGGGGCACAGTTAGTTTGATTCGTAGCCGGATCTGGGATTATAGTTCCGGCAGGTGTCTGCACCGTATTCGGGTCACCGACTGGTGGTGGTGGTGGTGGTGCTGAAGTCGCTGGATCTGGGACTGCTGTAGCAGCCGGTTCTGTTACTGCAGGTGTGGAAGTTGTTGATGTCACAGACACTTGCGGAGTCTCTCCGAGTTGCCTCCACACAAATTTCATATTGGCGCCAAAACCCTCGAGAATTAACAAGTGATCGGGAATAAGAAGGAAGCGAGACAGTGTTCTCTGATCGAGCTCGCGATGCCGTGATATAGGCTGTTCATACCTCGATTCGCTAGCTCAGCCCGATCAGAAATATGCAGGCTTCAGCTGTACAACAGTAACGCAGGCTGCGAAGCTCTGACCACTTGATTTATTCGCCGGAATTGGTAAATGTTGGCGAGGCTGATACTAGCAACATGGTGTTGAACTCTATGGTGTGGGGTCCGAATGCATTGTTGCCGAACAGTCATCAGCACGAGCCCGTGTGGCTTGTCACTACTTCATATCCGTCTGTCACACCGAATGAACATCGCGTAACACCGCCGCAAATAAATTGGCATCGCAGCAGACCCCACGTTGTACTTTTTTTTGGGAGCGGTCTCGACCTGTCGGCAAGAATGAAGTGTGAGGCTGAGCCAAGGATGGCTTTCCAGTGACCGGACAGGGAAGACCGGCATACCTCAGCCTTGTCACTTCTTGCACCTGGATTCCATACATGACAAGCATCAGTACGTGTTGTTGAAACCACGCGAAGCTGTAGTGTCCGTGTTATTACTACGTGATAGAAATTGCCCATCATTTTAACACACGCTTTCATCATGGAACTTCCACAATCTCGACCAGATTTAGTTGTATCCATCGATTTTGGAATGACATGTAGGTTGCGACTTGTGAGTTGGCAAGATCTCAGCGCTCATAGGTTTTACAGGTACTGGTGTCGCATACTGCAACGTAGCGACTGGGTCTGATAATGTACGGCACATTCAACGCTGGCCTGGACGAACGCAAGCGAATGAGAACAAAGTAAGATCTTCAATGGTATACCACGAAACACAAGCTAAATTCGTGCAGGTACCGACGTTGCTAGTATACCCACAGAACTCCGAAGCGCCATCATCGTGGGGATTTCTTGCTGAAACTGCACAAGAGAGCAGTGGTGCAGGTCACGAGAGCAGGGAATGGTTCAAGATCATGCTCGACGAGGACCTACTGGAACAAATGAGATCCAAGTCTACTGAGCCATCGAAAGTACCACATATCCAAGAAGTAGAGAAATGGTAAGCTCGGTACTCGAATTCGGCCTTGCAGTGAGCTGATGGTTTTCCAGGTACACGGATTATTTCAGCTACCTCTACCGTACGATCGAAGCGCGACTACGAGGCGAACTCGCAAGCCGATGGGAAGACGCGAACATCGAGTTCATCTTCTCGGTACCTACAACATGGAAACCTATACCCACTGTGGAACGATTCAGGAAGACGATATCCGCAGCTGGTTTTGGGTCGTGCGCCAGCCACACAGCATCAATAGGGCTGACGGAAGCTGAGGCGGCTGCGGTACATACAGCGCGGAGTATGCCTGGTATCTTCAAGGTGAGTTGTCTAGCAGATCATGATACTCTTGCGTAGACTATAACATTACCAACAGGAAAATGAGTTACTCTTCGTATGCGACGTAGGTGGAGGTACAACGGTGAGAAAGCATCGTAGTGCCGCCTCATGGCTAGTTCGCTGAGTGTTATAGGACCTATCGGTTTTCCGAGTGAAGAACACTCAAGGTGGCTCTCTTACTCTCGAACAGATTGATGTTGTATTCGGTAAGGTTCTCGCAGCATTACACCTGTGCTATACTGACCTCACGGAGGTGCCACTATCGGAGCCGCACAACTCGACAGTCTATACGAAAAAGCGGTGCTACAGCGATTGGAGCATGCCGATCGACTTCAGCCAATGGGACTTCAGGATATACATCAGGCGGCATGGGAAATGCGAATCTCGAAGGAATACCAGAAGTTTGTTTGCATCATCGACAAGAGCGACGACAACCTAACTGACTGCTCAGTGCAAAATGCGATTACGGCTCGGAAGAATCTTTGATGGATACCGAGACCTTTGCGGTGCGGGTACCCAAGCTGGACAAGGCTTACAACAACCGAGAATGCGCTATTAGCGCCGGCGACATGTACTTCCAGCGGTTAGACTTACACATGAGACCTACTCGTGGTGTTCTTAACTGACACCTCTGTAGCGACGATTTGAAAGGCTTTTTCGACACTCAGGTATCTAAGCTTTTCGAAATGATGGACAAACAGCTCGCTCGTGTGCAGCAAAAGTTTCCATGTGAACAAGTGGTATGTCAACTTACACGTCATGCTATAATGTCACTGTCTCACCCAGTTCAGTCTCATCTCGTCCTGTCCGGAGGTCTCGGCAACTCCGCATTCGTTCAAAACTGTCTACGAAGCCGATACGCATTCGGCAGCACACCACACTCCAACGCACAGCATATGCAGATCCGCATCGCACCCGACCCGCAACTCGTGGTCTGCAAAGGCAACGTGGCCGACCGCATTCAGAAGCTCAAGACCGGTCAGTCGGTGCTCGGGTGGCGATGTAGCCGTGCATCATACGGGACGATGTGCAAGATGCTGTACGACCCGTTCAACCTTGCACATTTTGGGTTGAGGACGGAAGTTGATCCTTTGGACAAGAAGGAATACGTCATGGATTGCATCGACTGGTTTATCAAGCAGGTAAGCGCAATCTATGGGTACAATATGATAACATGAAGCTGACTGTGTCAGGGCGAGCCAGTCTCGAGCGACTTCCCCATAGTGAAGAACTTTCAACGAAAGTGCCCACCAGCCTCATCCAAGTACCCCAACCCACCGAGAATCTACCCCACGGAAGTAATATGCACCGAAATCGACAAGTCCGAACTTCCAACAGTAAAAAACAACGGTAGGTGTACATCCCCGACATGACGAAACACAATACTAACATCCTCAGCTTGCCGCTCAATATGCAAAATCGAATCCGACTTCTCATCCCTCCCGCTGTCACTCTTCAAACTCAAAAACCGACACTGGTGGAACTCCGGCCCGAAATACCACCGCATCAACTACGTCGTCAAAGTAAATCTCGGGCCCGCGGATGTATCCTTCGAATTGTGGCACAATGGCGTCAAGCTTTCGAAAGACAACTCCATCAAAGTTGAGTGGCAAGCGAGTGCGCCGCCTGATCTGAACGTGACGACTATTGCACCAGACTTCCCGATGAACAGTTTGCCGGCGGTATCGAGTTATGATGCAGCGCATCGCCGTACGGTGAGGTCGGTTGGGGATGGGGGCGGTAGGCTTGGGACGAATTCGGGGAAGTGGGAGAACAAGACTGGTGTCAGATCTCAAGTGATGTCGGCGTCGCAGAATGGGTCCAGGGTGTGGTAGGAAACAGTATTGTTCGCCTCCATGCGCATCGTGGATGGGTCCGCTGAGATTCAACTTCTCGTACGCAGGTTGCGGTTTTCGCGCATTTGTCGTTCCCAGAGCCGTGTGTTGATCATGTTTCCGTTTCTGTAGCGAAGTCGACCAGCGCCTAAAACCGCAGGAACATGGTGTTCCAAGCATACAACATGTTTATCGCAGAGTCTCCAACGTGCGTTTCAAACCCCGCTCATCCATCATAAGCTCTATCCAAATCACAGCATCGCACAACAGGAAAAGTACCGCAACCGCCATGAACATAACCATCAGAACGGCGAAAAATACGCCACAAGCGTAAAATAGCTGGCCGACTTTTTCTTCAACAGCAAATGGCGGATCGAACAGCTGGCACCGACATATAGGACATAAATGTCCACCTGGAGATTTAACGAGCTCGGCAAGGCAGTCTCGGCCCATAACGTGGTTGCAGGGAAGAAAAAGCATCCCGGCGTGAGTATCGTTGTCATAGGGTTCCCAACAGAGGCAGCATGTGTTGTCGTTGAATGTGTCGGTCGGTACCGCCGGGAAGGTCCGCCAATTCAAGAAATCGTCTCTGGAGACGTAAAGGCCGAGGAAATTTTCGAACATGGCTGGTGTTTAGTTGGGTGGTAGGTCTGTAGAGTTTGTTTAGTACAGCACGGAATGCAAGGGAGTGTTAAGTATAGGTGAGTGGTGGGCAACCACGGATGAGGATGATGTTGGAAATGGTTGGTACCATCAAATCAGTTTTCCACGCTGGACGAATGAGAAGAGAGCTCTTTGCGCATATTGGACAACGGAGTAACAGAACCAAGGAACATGAATACGATAGAGAGTATTAATTAACCTTAACGCGTAGAAGTACGCATTTTGCAGGTGGATACCTATAAACGACGCTTAAACATTCTCGTACCTCTGCCGCTGAAAACCAACCCACTTATGATCCGGGGTGAGCTTAAAAAATCGACGGATTGTAGACGGTGCCTCCGTATAGCAAAGCTGTTACTATCTGAGCAAAGCAAAAGCGAACCAATATAACCGAGAATACGGTCGTTGAGAAGATGACACGGTCGCGCCGACTCAATAGTCCAAGGTCCATGCAACCCACGGGTACGCTAATTGCGATGGCGCAGAGAATCAGCACTGGAAGCTTCTGCCACTGCCATGGCGTCTGAAAAAGCTCGTCTACTAAGTAGAAAATGCTGGTCTTCACCGCTAAGGCTCTGGAACGTCCTGATGAAATCATGAGATGAACATAGAGGGCTTGAACCATCGCGTAAATCCGCATCCCCAGTTCCAGCTGGGGTTGCAAGAGCGGGTTCCTCGGATATATGTTGGTAAGGCGCTGTAAAACGAAGTCAATCTGGTAGCATACGTTCGACATGCGGTACCAGGAGTTGACGGCCTTGACAGGAAACCTGATCCAGGCTGGAAGTCTATACCAGAACGGTTGGAGTGTATACCAGAACGCCTGGATTCGACTGAAGGCGAATATTGCCCAAATTTGCAGACGCATAAAGTTGTCCAGAAGGATACGCCAGAGGTAAACTTGAGTAGGAGGCTGAAACCATACTGCTCGACAGATGGGGCATTTGTCTCCATTCGGGGCGTCGATCATGTCTTCGAGGCAGACGTCTCCGAATACGTGATCGCAAGGCTGCACGCGCACAGCGCGATGATCTTCGTCGTATGGACCCCAACCTAAGAATATTAGTACATAGTTACATATCAAGATAGGGGGAAGTACTTACAGAACGTGCACTTGTCTTCGTAGAATTTGTCGTTCTCGCCAGCGCGAACGACATTCTTCTCCAGGAAGGTCTTCTTCGTAACACCGAATAGCTTTTTGAACATGGTTGTTGTTTAGGTTGTGGTGAGGTTGGGAAGCTGTTGTAAGAGCCACGCGATTTTATATAGTCGTGCAGATGTGTCAGTCCACTCCAATGTACAGCAAAAAGGTTTGAAGGACAGGGCGCATTGTGCATTAACTCAAGTTGTTAGAGAGTGAAAGATGAGGTGAAATTGAGAGCATTCACTCGTAATTACTGCGGTGACCCAGAGGCGACAAGCCAACCACACATCCCGCATTTCATACGACTCATACGTAAGGAGATACTCTACAAAAGAAAGAGGTATCGCGGGTCCAAGAGCCTTGGTCGTTACTGCTGCGTATAAGTAAACTCTTAGAGACAGCTAATAAAGCGAGAGGCGACCATTGGTGCTGTGTGAGGTGGCTAGTGTGGGCGCCACATCAAGCCGTCTACATCCGACGAACCAGAACCTGTAGCACTCTTCGGCATATCACAACTCGAACGACTGACCAAAGGAAATCGATGACTGCAAACCATGGTCGGTAGGCACAGAGGAAAGACGCGGGCAGTCTCCACGTGGATCCGCGTCACGGGCGCAGTTTAGCCGAGCACTAGCGCGCCTGCGCGCCAGCTACAAAACCCCGCCAAAAACTATTTTCTTGCTCCTCCAACGGCCTGCCTTGCCAACGCTGCGTTTCTTTGCACACCTACAGACACTCTTTCGAGAGCACGTCCTACCCTGCAAATGAGAAATTCGGAGTAATCTTCACTTTTTATCACGCCCACTTGTGGGCTGTACTGCTCGTAAGAGCCTGGCGTGACTCACGTCTGCATCCGGCATCAGAAAACTCAGGGCGCCAGAAAGCGCGACTTCTTGCTTCGGCGGGAGGGGGCGTGGAACTGGTGTCCCTATGGGAGTCGGTGCGAAGATTGTGTGCTTTGATCCTTCGGGTGAGAGGTGACACTGTAGTACAATACGCAGCGTACTTGACCTTGAGTAGCCTTTTGGGCGAAAGAGGGCACGGTATCATTCGATTCTGATTACTCGGGCGAGGCAGGCCGTTCACCTTTTTTTTTACTATGTAAGTGCGCTTTGCGCTGTCTCCTCTGGTTCGGGGATACTGCTAATAAAAACTCATGCGAATCCAACGACACGAAGCCCTGCGACTACTGCGCGATTTTTCTCTCGTTCTCTCCCTGGAGCGCTTACTCCTGCGGCTCCGATGCCACGTCCTTCTCCAGCGCATACATGATGTCTGTCCGCAACGTATACTTAGTTCCCTTCACAACGTCATCGCCCGAGTGAATAAGGAAACGATGCTGGAAGAGCAGGACGCGTCCGGCCTTTGGCTCGACGTCTATACGGCTCTTCATACTGCTGTTGAAGAATGTAGTGGCACCACCCTCGAGCTGTTTCTCTCCGCTCTTCGATACCGCGTCATTGAGGTAGAGATGCAGGGTGAAATAAGAGCGCTCGGTGCCGTCGGGCGTTTCGTAGGTCCCATCGCAATGCGCTGATCTAGTCAGCAGCTATAGTCGCAAGATGCAATGCAATACATACGTTTGAAATACTCCCCGCCGATGTACTTGAGATAGCGTCCGCGTTCATTGAGTCTGGTCACCTTCCACGTCTCGCCCCGTCTCGCTGGGCCGTTGCCTGTGACGTCGACCCAGTTGTGCAATCGATGGATCTCAGGCACCGACGCCTCTATCCTCGCCCATAGCTTGGCCATGATCTCTTTGTTGTCCCAGATAATGCGCCCACACTTTCTCGTGTCCTCATACATAGCTTGCATGCCTCCGCCAACGTTGACCAGAGCCCTTTCCCACTTGCCATTTGTGGTCGCCTCGGCTGCTTGCACTAAAGTGTTGCACTCGTCTTCGGAGAGGACACCATCGAGTATGACAGCCCAAGACTTTTCGTCTTCCAACAGGCCAGCCTTTTTGAAATCAATTTTGGACCTGGTCAAATTGGGCGCTGGGCCTTCGAGGAAACCATCGGGCAGTGTATATTGGGAGGGCGGAGGGCTGGGCTGGACGGATGTCCGACCTTCGTGGGTGCGAAGTAGGTCTTCCTTCAAGTCCGTGGGTAAGGTTCTGGCAGCTGCCATTGTTGATAGATATCGCACTGAAACTCGGAATGTGCGCAAAGGAAGCATGTCCTGAAACGAATTTTTGAATTAACGCAGGCTATAAAGGCTGCGCCGGGCTGTGAAACCAGCTGACTGCTGCCTGGAAGCCGTCGATCCATATGAGAGACATGGAGGCCACAAGGCGTCCATCGTGCATCTGCTGCATATCGCCCACAAGGGACGCGTGAAAGCTCTCAGGAGCGACTTCCTGCTCATCTTATGCCTTGGTCGCCCTGGAAGAAACAAGCAGTAGCTCCATGACGCGGGTCCCTGGCGCGGCCACTGGACGATGATCGGCGAAAAGAAAGCACAGTAGCTGGACAAATGACTTCTAGAGATACGGCCGCCGCCTTCTGCGCTGTGTTCTCAACGTTTCACCTACCATGGGTGACAGCTGCCATGTTAGCTGTCCAGGTGGTGCTGGGTGCTGGGGTGGCAGGGACGATCACGTGGAAAGGCAGTAGCTATTCGCGGCCCTTCTCGACCCTCACAGCCTCGCGTTTCAGGCACACGGGCTGCATCCGGGCTGCATCATCATCGTCACCGCGCACAACTGATCCACCAGCTCATCCACAGGACGCGAGTCGGACGCAGCACAGTGAAGGAGTTTCATGTGACCCGTTGCTTCTTATCGACACCAGCGCCGTCGTGCAGTGCGCGACCAAGCCCATCGCAAGCCACTGCCGCTGCCTCCCTGCTCCGCCAACCGTCGCGCCAAGCTAGAGGTGCCGACTTCACTCCTAATTTCCCGCTGACACGCCAGCTTCACGACGCTCCGAGGCGCTGACGCGACGCCGCAAAGCTCAATTCCCCGCGACCTGACCATCGTCGCCCTGTTCCTCCCAATTACCAACACGTCGTCCCTGGCGTCGCGACCGGCCGGACCACCACGCTCGCCGCCGTTCGCTCAGCAACCACAGCACTAGCCACGCAAACACACCGCCCGCCGCCAGCCTACGCCAGACCCTGCGTCTATCGTCTATCGTCTATCGATACCTGCCATTCTTCACCCACCAGCGACGATCGTCGCGCGCCTCTCGTTAACACCACATCTCCCGACTCACCGCAGTCATGTCGCACCCCCAGGATGCCGGCTCTCCGGTGCCCCCAGCCCACCGCAATCGATTCCCAACGCTCTTCGAAGTCCTTAGCAGGACAACCAGGCCACCGCTGGATCTCTTTTCCTTCTACATCTACATGCGCGACCAGCAGCGCTCCGTCGACTACTTGGACTTCTGGTAAGACAATCCCATGTCCAGGCTCTGGGACCACGCTGACCACCAACAGGCTTGATGTGTCGCAACATCTGCAGCTATGCAGGCTTTACGTCCGACGGTTACACAGGAGCATGATAGAAGAAACTCCTGATCTTGAGAAAAACAGTAGGCGTTCATCCTATTTGTTGAACAATGCTGGAGAAGGCCCTTCTAACGAGAAAGGTGACAATCTGTCTGACCAGCGCTTGTCCGCCTTTCTTCGTTCCGACCGCGGTAGCCGCAACCACTCGCCACAAAACAGTCAGGGTAGCAATCAGAGCCGAGAGTTCCCGCGTCCAAGCCTGAACTTACTAGACACTCCGGGTGATTCGAGCTCGCCCGGCCAGGACTCATCCGCCGACAACACACAGCCCAGCAGAGAGGACCTGCGCGCGTCGGCAGAGAAGATCTTGTACACGTACTTGCTCCCTGGGTCCGAGCGGGAAATAATAATTCCCCAGAGTATCCTGACTGAGGTTCAAGAGGCCATAGAAGGGCCAGAGCAGCGTGCGGATCCCGAGCTCTTTGACAGTGCCAAAGACTACGTCTTCCAAGCCATGGAGCGCGACGCATACCCAGGTTTCTTGCAGAACAAGGGCCTCGGCAACCTTGTGCCCCAGAGCATGATGCTCCGTCTCATAGTAGGACTGATCAGCTTCTTTGCGGCCATGTGGACGTCCTTCATTCTTATATTCCTTGACAAGTCAAGAAGCACGCGCTGCTGGGTATGTCACCTTTCGGTTACACGATGGAGAATCAACTAATGTTGTGCACAGATCATCCTCCCGTTCACTATCGCCATCTACCTCATCTTCACGCACCAGTACATGCTTGACCCAATCCTCGCCCTGGCTGGATTCAGCGAGTACACCTTCTTCGACTTCAACCGCATCAGGGAGCCATTCGTCAAGAAGACGCTGAACAGGCGCTCCATCACTGTCATGGTCATGTTCCTGGCTGTCACGGTAGCCGTCTGCTGTCTCTTCATCTTCGTTCCAGGCAAGCGCCTGTAAGCCAGTGCACCTGCGTGGCTTGTTTTGATACCACATGTAATGTTTGTTTATTCTTGGCGTTGTCAGACAGCGAAGCGCGGAGGGAATCAAGACCAGCGGGGACATGGAGAAGATACCCCCTCGCTTCGTCGCCATCCGACCTCCAGCAGGCTTTCCTTTGTTTTTGGACCGATGCTTGGATCGGCCATGTTCTGGTAATGGACGGCTGTTCTCTTTCTAGAGCATGGTGTTCAGGCGTTCTCTGTGAGACGATCAATAGCGAGTTCAACTGAGATATAACCCCCACCAATTGATATTCATCTTTAGCAGCGCTCAAATGCCATGTGAAAGTAGTCAAGCGTGAGATGTATGCACCCCTGATTGACGTTTGGCGAGCCGTTAGGTGTGGAGTTGGTGCATGCACGCCAAGGCGCAATGACGTGAACCGCGGCCGGCTTTCACAACGTCGAAGTGCACCTTACGTCCATTATCGGCAGAGTACGCGCATCGCCAGTCGCGCCCTGTATAGCTCTATCGGAACCACTACCAGCACTCCCTAGCCCAACGCTGTGATCTTCCAATCGCTCGCAATCGCGACATCCGGCGTGCCAAACCTTCTTGCAGCTACAGGCACTAGCGGAGTGGATAGCAGCAACCAGCAAAATGAGCGGGCCAACAGCTAAGAGCAAGAGAGGGCCGACGGTGCTCATGACCGACAGCCGCGACGCTGCACCCCGAGCACCCCAACGACCCGGCGCAGGACAGCGACAGGCGACAGGCGCGCGCTTGATCTCGGTGGACAACATCCTGCAGTACGCCTCGGACATTCCCTCGCAGCAGCAGCGACGCGGCCCGCCTGGCAACGCCAACCGCCCCATCATGCACACGCGCACCCCCAGCGGCCGCCATCCGCTCGATCCCAGACTCACTGGCCGCCTGATCCCCCAGCACATGCCCACGCGCTCCAGCAAGCTCAGCGAAAAGCTCGTCCTGCTGCCCGAGACGGAGGGCCAGGAGGAGGACGAGAAGGGCGACTTTGACGACGACGAGTACGAGGGCCCGCCCACCGACGAAGACCTTGCGCGACGGACTCCCAAGGGCGGGCCAAACGACAAGAGCTATGCCGAGCGCCTGCCCAAAGCGAAGCGGACGGACAAGCTCTCGCGCGTGACGGCCTACTGCACCGCCCAGGCCTATAAGATGAAGAGCACCGCTCAGTTCGTCAAGGATACCCACAATGCGCGCACCAAGCTGTACGACGACTGCCTCTACACCGTATACCACCTCCCGCTGCTGCCCGGGAACGATGGCTACCGGGTCCGCAGTAGCCCGGCGCTCAAGAGCCCAGGCGGAAAGACAGTGCTCGACGAAGAAATCGAGCGCAACGAGCAGCGCGATCACCACGAAGGCTACTTTGGCGACGAAGAGACATACTACGTGCGCGACGACCACGAGCTCGACCAGCCCTGGGACGGCATGCACGACCGCCGAGACTCGACCGAGAACTCCAGAATCGCCCCCAATGCGCTGACCTTTGGCGAGATGTTCGTCTTCTCGTACGGCGTCGTTGTCTTCTGGAACTTCACCGAGAAGCAGGAGAAGGATATACTGGCCGACCTGACCTTCTCCGCCGTCGCTACCGGAATCAACATCGCATCCCGACCCTTGGCCGAGTCCGACTTCGAGACGGAAGAGTTCCACTTCGAATACAACCCCGAGATCCAGCGACCCCGCGTCTACAACGACATGATTACCCTCAAGAGCGGAGACCACATGATCAAGCTAGCCATGAGCCACGCCATCGCGCAGAGCACCAAGCTTAGTCTGTTTGAGGAGAGCATGAGCCGGACGATGCTTGCCGCGCAATACGTACCGAAGCGCTTAGCACTCACCGGAAAGTTGGGCATGAGGAGAACGGATGTAGTCAAGATGATTGGACAACTCTTCACCAGCCGTGTCGAGGTGAACCTGTGTACGTATTGAACCACCCGCTCACGAACCAATGATTACTAACCACTCTTCCAGCATCCAATATGCTCGACACCCCAAGCTTCTTTTGGGATTCTGAACCTACCCTCCACCCACTCTACACCGCCGTCCGCGAATACCTCGAGATCAAACCCCGCATCCAAGTTCTCAACGAGCGATGCCAAGTCTTCTTAGATCTGGGCGAGATCCTCTCCGACTCTATCAGCGACAAGAAAATGACCAAGATTACGTGGATCATCATCGTCCTCATTGTCCTGAGTATCTGCATAACGTGTTTGGAGGTGCTGCTCCGGTTTGCTATTCTGCAAAAGGGCAGGACTAACGTTCCTGTGGCTGGTGACTTGGAAATCAGGGCCGTGGGTGGACTCAAGGGGATGAGTCCGCCCGCGTATGCTGGCCCGGGCCTACTCGCTGCGAGGAGTTTGGTTTGGTTTGGCAGCGGGGTGAAGGGTCTTTTGGTTGGTTGAGTGCATGACGTGTGATGGGGAACAGAGGGGTAATACAGATCACGAGGATATGCATCGGGTGGTCTTCCCACAGGCATCTCTAAGAAGGCGCAGTGCTGTTCGGTCGCGTTTTTATCATTATTATAGGCATCAGCGATAGGCGTTCTCTGGTCGGCGCCAATGGTGTGTTCTTTGGTTCTACAAACTCTAGACTGGGGATACGTGTAATTCTGAAGGGTTCAATTCCAGACAAAATGCATCATCACGCTCCTTTCCTCGTCCTCCCCTCTTCTCCGTCGTGATCAAGCACAGCGAATACGTGTAGTCTTTCAAGGGTCGGTTTCCAGACAAGATAAGTCATCCACGTCTACCTGTCATGTTTCCCCCTCGTCCATCGTCATCAAGATTCCCTTTCATCCCTGGACTGTATATTTCCAATAGGCTCCATGCCAGACTGAATACATCATGGAATCCCGTCCCCTATTTTACCCTTCCAAGTATCGTGATAAAATGCCCCCATTTATATTCCACATCTCCCTCCCAGCATCTTGATCCTCCATCTTCCCATCCACATTCCCACCAGCCACCAGCCAATCATGAAATTCAACACCCCCCTTCTCAACCTCCTCACCCTCACCGCCATCCTCATCCCCGATGTCTCCGCCCACAAAGACAAGAAGAAAGCCGCCGCGGAACTCGAGAAAGACATGACGGCCCACACTCTGGAAGCCAAGGCCGTGAACTACATGGTCTTTGTCGAGCCTCTCTGGCACTTCATGGACATGTGGCATGACCATGAGGCCTCATACGGTGTTACAGGTCTGGACTGGGTGACGGATGCCTGTACAGGCGTTGATGACAGGCCGTTTAAGTGGGACTGTGAGTTAGCCGGTAGAATTGAGAGAGAGTTCTAGATCTAACGTCATGTAGTCAAACCAGCGTGTATCCGCCATGATTTTGCATATAGAAACTTCAAGCGCCAGGGGAGGCTAGGTCATGTGAGTTATGCCTTCCTTTCCATCCACAATCCCGCCCTAGTTTTTGCTCTTCATCTTCGCTCTATCCCAATGCACAAGAGCCACAAACTAATCAAACCACACAACAGCAAGCCCGCAAGAAAATCGACAAGAACTTCAAGGAGGACATGTACGAGCAATGCAGGAAGGAAAAGCACAAACACTTGTGCCGTATCGGTGCGAAGATTTATTATGCCGGTGTGAGGGTTATGGGGAGGAGGGATTTGGTTGAGCCTGAGAAGACTCTGATACATGCGACTGGAACCGCCAACGCTACCACCGAGGATACTGCTTCCATCGCTGCCGTTGCCATCGACTCGAATGCTGAGATTAGTGCTGAGGAGAGGGCTCAGAAGGTGTTTGAGGCTTGGATTGCGGAGCTGCGAGCGCATCCTGAGGTGCTGATGGAGATGACGGAGAGGGATCTGGAGAATGTTGAGGTGGCGCTTGATGAGGGGATTGAGGACATTGAAAAGGGTGATGAGGTGCAAGAAGAGATGGCTGCTGTTGGCATCTAGAGAGGTGTGCAAGCTACTGGGACTGACCACGCAAAACACAACGTCCACTGTGTAACGGTCGAGAAATCGCTGTCTCTCCGTCCGTGTATGATTTCATCCATCATTCAGTATTACCAATAGCAATACCACCCATCTACCCCACCCATTCACAACTACTCCTTATCCACAGCAAAAGCCTTCAAATCATCCATCGCCACACCCTTCAACGCCTTCTCATTCGTCGCCTTGAGCACAACCTTGGGCACCTTCTTATCATCCATGCCCGTCCTCGCATCAAACGCCTCCTTCCACCTGCTCACACAAAGACACCACTTGCAGCCATCCGTCAGTCCCACTTGGCGCAAGTCGTTGCCCCGCGCGGCAGAGAAGTCGAGGAACTCTTTCGATACTACACCTGCAATGGCGTGGTTGCCGGCGTCCGAGGCGGGCACTTCGCAGTAGCCTGAGCGCGTGAAGCCGGTCAGGGGTTGTGTCGAGTGGAGCGCGAGGGGTTGCTTGAAGACTGTGGTGTGTTAGCCGTGGTAGGCTGGTGATGGGTGTCCTTGTATATGTCTGGCCTGTTCATCGAATCGCAAACACCCGTCGCAGTGCATGGACGACGTTGAGACTGCGAAACGCGTGCCTGAAGATCCCGAGTCCGCGACGAAACTGTTTCATGCAAATGAACACAGGATCGGGATGTCGCGTAACCGTTTGGCTGGATCCCGAACGTTGAGACTTGAGACGACCCAATGCGGGATCCCGATGTCTTGTCTACTCTTCTCCATTGAAACCATGTGATCTTACGTACCGTTTAGAGACATACTGCCGGCTTCTTCCCGTTGCTTTTCCCCGTGATTTTGAACTGGCGCTCTTTCCCACTTAATCTGCACGTCGTGAACGTGAGCGTATTCGCGTTTCGGAGCTGTTCGTGCTGAACGTGTAAAGTTGGAGAGGAGATTACGTAGTAAGCGCATGAGTGAGGAGATGGCAGCAGCACGTGCAGTTATTAACGTGCACACAATGGTTGACGGCTTGACGGGTGGTGGTGTGCTCAAGATGGCGTCAAGAGAGCGTTAGAGCGGAGGTTTAGCGCGTAGGGCTGAATGGATGACGTTTGGCAGGGGGGTAGCTGCCGCAGATCTCGAGAGCTGCGCGATCGGCTGTTGCACCATCGTGGGCCGCGGCTGGGATCTGGGCGTTGGGCGTCTTTGCCGGGGAGCGGGCCTAGGAGCGGCGATCGGCGCGACGATCTAGATTGTGATGCCATCGCAGCTATAGATGAGTGCTTTTGATCTGTCGTCCCTAATATTGGTATTCGGGGTCTTGACGTGCTAGATGTGGTATTTATGCAGGCTGCGGCATCCATAAATTTACCCAGCATGTGGCGTGAGCGGAGTTTAGGCAGTGTATAGGCACCACCAAGTGATCGGCATGTCTGGACAGAGTTCACACGGAGGTTTATTCATGTTGAAAAACGTTGCATCATCTGGGATGGTATTGATTTGAAGTGATTGAAACAGAGCTACTGCGCCATGCAATTGTTCGTAGATGATCCTTTTCTGTAACCGACAGCATCAAGATATCATCGCAGTCGTGGATGTAGAGAGCGATCGTGGGCGACACGTATTGATGAATAAGGAAAGTAGAAAGTATACAAAAACACCGTATCCCAAATGCATCCGTGACCGGTCTTGCCATCCAAACGCCGCCAGTAGGAAAGATCCCAAACACCTTTTTGTGGGTATGCAATTCGCTGCCATCCTTATGAGATCGGTAGGCCGTGGGTATATATGCAGGTTGTAATGTAGTAAGTCGTATGCGCACTAAGCGCAGCGTCGTGAGTGACGGGTAGTGTGCGGTGCTCATCGGTGCACGGCACCCGCCTTGATCTCTCTCTTCATTTCCTCGAGCTTCTTGTGCATCTTCAGGAGGTCGTTCCTCTGCGCCTCAGTCGGGGGCTTCTCCGCCTCCGTCAGCTGCCAGTACAGCTCTTCGTACTTCTTATAGTACTTCTGGAACCTCTGCGAGAGCTCGACTGTCTGTCGGAAGCTCAAGTTAGGCATGGAGGGTGAAGTGGTCGATGTGGAGGAGGCGCCTGGGGATGCGCGTGGGTTGTTGTGGTGGTAGCGCGAGGCGAGGCCGGTGTCGATGTTAGCGACCTTGCGGACCTTGGGCGCAGTGGTGGGAGTGTTGGAGGAGGAAGAGTCGTCCGATTTGCGCTTCAAGGAGCTAGTACTGGAAGGCGTAGAGCCGTTGGCCTTGCCGTTGGGGTGTGAGGGGGTGTGAGTAGGAGTTGCGCGGTCGCCACTCGGCTTCTTCACAGCCAGGTTGTGGTTGTGGATATCGCTGTCAATGTCGTTCGCCTTGCGCTTGAGGGATCGGTCAGAGTTACCACCGGACTTGGCGGGCGATGGAGCTGCCGCAAGTGCCTTGTGGACTGGGTGCGAGTCCTCGAAGTCACTGGCATTGACAGGCGGCGAGGCGGAGAGAGGCGAGGGATTCTTCGGCTTGGTGTTGATAGGCATGGTGGGCTTGAAAGGCCGGTTGGCGGGGCGGTCTCGCTGCGAATCGCGGCCACTCATCTTCGGTTTTGCGCGTGGGTTGGTGGTGCCTTCTGAAGCGGGTGCTTTCTTGTTGCGTATCTTCGAGGCGTCGGCGGCAGGTGTGTTGGATTTGGAAGGTGCGACAGGGCGAGGAGTTGAGCTTGAAGGCGTCGAAGAGGCTGGGGCTGTTGCTATTGTGGGCTGCTCCTCCTTCACCTCTTTCACGCTCACTTCCTTCGCGGCCGCAGCTGCCTTCTCACGGGCCAGGTACTTCTCCTTCATGGACGACTTCGGCTTGATCTCTACTTCCTTGGCGACCTTGGGCTTCTTCTCAACTGCAGGCTTATCGGCCGCCTTCTTCGTGACCGTCTTCTTCTTGGTGAGATCAGATATCTTGTGCATTGGGGTGCTCGCTTTGGGCTTAGCTTCCGGCGCCTTCACCGTCGAACGCGACAAGCATATGCCCTGGCCTCTCTGGTCACGGGGCAGCAGGATCTGCCAGAGCTTGTCGTCCTTTGCCAGCCGCTGGCGGTCGAACGACTTGATGGCGCCATCAATGGCTTGCTGCCGGTCCTCGGCACTCTGGTAGGGAAACTTGAACGGATTCACCTCACGGAACGACTTGTCGGTCAGCTGCCACTTGTCGGCGTCGGCTGTGGAGCGCTTGGCTATCTTGGGCAGGACATCTCGGATGTTGGCCAGCGACGTCCTGCAGGTGGCGGCGAGAGAGGCCTCAGTGGCAGGCTCCCGCGCAAGGAGATGGATGATGGGCACTCGGAGCGCGCTGACGATCACGTCATGGCTGTTGCTCGGCTGCGAGGTAGGAGCCCGCTTGTGCATGGGCGACGACGACGCGCTGAGCGATGGCGAGCCCAGCATGGAAGGAGCGAGGTGCGATGCCTTGAAGCCCGTCGACGGGAAGCGGCGATGGGCTGGTGTGCGCCCGGGAGCAGCATCGCCGACAATGGTCCTGCAGCAATCTTTGTCAGTCCTGGTATACACAACTGGGTCTCATCATGGCAATCATCCGCGACAGGGGTGCTCGAGTCTCTCGACTTGATGCCAGAGATCGTGGGCAGCCGTGGGATACCGGGGAGGCATACTTGTTGGCTTCCTTGAACTCTGATATCGCAGCCATGTTACTCCTAAGCTGCTCCAGCGCCGAGTCTACGCCTGCCGTCACGTCCTCCGCCTTGTGTACCATCAGACTGTGGTTGATCATGCCCGCAAACTCGAGGCTGTCCGGGCTGCCAGTCCCGCTGGACTTGTACAATTCGTATCGGTGGAGCTCGCTGCTGCTCTGCAGCATGTGCGTCTTGTCGCCATACTTGAGTTGCTGTTGTTGTGGTTAGCCCAGCTCGTGCCAGCCCCCATTCCGGGTCGAACCACCCAGGAACACCTAGGTAGCAACACAACACCAAGCGTGCACACATACTGGAGTCCGTCCGAAGATTATCTGCGGTGATTTTCCGCTCCTGACACTGGCCAGGAGCTCGTCGACAATGTCCTGGGTAATGTCCACCTGCATGGCCTGCACAGGCGGTCGTCTGTCGTCCTTAAGTCCGGCGTCGCTATCCGGAGCCCCGACAAGGGCTATGCCGCCCGAGGGGAGCAGCGAGGTCGCCATGTTGGTGTTGTTGGCGTCTATAGAATCAAAGAGGCGGAACGAGGTGTGAAGCTCGCACCCGGATGTTGCTAGGAGAGGCAATGCATGGAGAGAGCACCCAGGCACTGAGCGAAGAGCAAGCAGTGCAGTCGGGTCCGAGGCAGAGACCCGTCACAGACGTCTCTGGCGTTTGGGTGAGGCGTTGGTAGGCTCGAGGAGGACGGAGGAACGAACAAAGGACGCTGCTCGGAGGACCGTCAGACAGGTCAGACTGTCACTGTCATAGCGCGCCCGGAATCCAGCGAGCAAGCGTGCACGGATATCAAGGTACGATGCTGAAACGATTGGTTGTCACGCACAGGATCAACGGCTGGGAGAACCAGACAATGTTGCTATAACGATGCAGTGTATTCACACGCAAAAGTGAAGGGTAGTGAGCTGGACGGAGGCCGAGCGAGTTGCGGTGTTGGGCCAGCACACATGCCTGAGAAGGCGGTGGTGCCGACAAGGGCGGTCGAGGCATAGCACGATTACGCTTCAGGGTGCCAAATCCAGCGGCGGCCCGCTTGCAAGGTACCTCGTGCTACCTCAATCTGTGGCCGCTGCAAGGCATTGCCATTCACGCCCACTGGTCCCATTTCGTTTTATTAAAACAGCATGCTCGTCACGGTACGCTGCCATCATCACAGTATGCAAAAAGCGCAGAGCGACAGCTTTTGACTCGGGACTCGATCTCCAGGTGCTGCGCCATATTCCAACACGCTGACCAGAGCTGCACGGTGTGCTGAGTCTGGCAAGCCTGGGCGGGTCCACCATCACTCGTGGCAGAACTGCGGGCAGCAAATGGCCTGCGTTTAAAAACGACGGGCGCGGAATTTGGGAGCCGGGTGCGCCAGGCAGGGTCGGGTATGTGCTGTACCTGTTTCGAATCCAAGCTGCCCTGTCCGTGTTTGAGACCACCGCAAGGCCATGCTTCACGTTGGCCTGCAGTCGCCTCTCCAGTATTGCCAGTGAGGCTTTCCTCATCCTCCAAGGCGCATCGCCTGACCAGAAAGATTCCTCACGGGCTGAGGCTTTCGGTTGGGGGCATCGCGTCACCCGCGCTGTCATCCGGCGCGGCGGGTTCGGTGCTGGTTAGATCAGCTTCATCGGGAGGCGCCATGACAGGGTCATCCAAGCCCGACCTATTTTGGTGCCTGCGGAACCCTCCACCGAGAGTGGGGAGCTTGCTTCCTCGAACGACTCACTTGTGGGAGCTATGGTGGAACTCTGCAAATACCAGCAGCTCTCCAAGCTTTCATCAGTGTCTCGAAACGACTACACAATTCATCGCTGCTGAATTCGTTGCGCTTCAAAGTTTTCATGCGAGTCATGCCACTTCCTCCAACCCCCCACCTCTAGCAGTCAGCCACACTCATGACTACGACGAACCATTTGACCAGGCGTACGTCGGCAAGCAGGGCTGCTTCTATGATTCGTAGAATATCATCGGCTGCAGCGTCAGGCGGTATGGTGGAGACTAAATCAGAGACTAGAAGCCATCCGCGTTGGAACCTCGCGTCCGGTTCGACGGCCAGCAACAATAACCGAATGCGTGAACGAACATGTTACTCAACATGTGCATGAGTAACGACGGCTGCAGGTAGACGAGCAGCGTGTGTTCGTGGTTGCT